GAATTTACCCCAGTAGTGCAGTATTGTTTTCACATTCAGAAATCAGTGAGTATAATAAACCATATCAATAGAATAAAGAAAAGACACACGATAATATCACTAGATTTTGGAAAAGCACTTCACACAATTGAACACTCTTTCATAATAAAAACACTCAACAATCTAGGAAGAGAAAGAAACTTCCACAACTTGCTAAAAGGAATCTATGAAAATCCCACAGCTAGTACCATACTTATTGATCACAGACGGAAAGCTTTCCTGCTAAGATCAGGGATCAGACAGATATCTGCTCTTGTCACTTTATTTCAGCTTTGTGCAGGAGGTTCTAACTACAGGAGGGCAACTAGGCAAGAAAAGACACTGTTCAAAAATGAGAATGGGTCGACATCCATAAGTCAGTCCATGTGATACAGCACATTAACAACATAAAAGATAAACATTATTTGATCTTCTGAATCGATAAAGAAAGAGCACTTGACAAAACCCAACATGCTTTCATGATAAAAACTCTTAACAAACTGGGTACAAAGGAAGCGTACCTCAACATAATAAAGGCCATATATGACAAGCCCACAGCTAAGATCAGACTCAACAGTAAGAAGCTGAAAGCTTTTCCTCTAAGATCAGGAAAGATACAAGAATGCCCGCTCTCCCACTGTCCTTCAATATAGTACAGGAAGCCCTAGGCAGAGCAACTAGGCATGAATAGAAAAGGGTCAGAATCAGAAAGGGAAACGTAAAATTGTCTCTCTTCGCAAATGACATGATCTTACCTAGAGAAAATCCTAAAGACTCCACCGAAAACAAACAAACAAAAACTGTGAGAAATGATCGGGAAGTTCAGTAAATTTGCGGGACACAAAAACAATATAAAAATATAAAAAAGCAGTTGCACTTGTAAACAGTAATGAAAATTTATTGGAAAGAGAAATTTAAAAATAATCCCATTTACAATAACATCATAAAGAATAAAATACCTGGGAGTACTTTTGACCAAGGAGTTGAAAGACCTGTATATTGAAAAGTATGAGAGACTGGTGAAAGAATTGAAGAGAACACAAGTATAAGTGGAAAGAAATTTTGGGCTTATGGATGAATTAATATTTTTGAAATGTCCATACTACTCAAATTGCTCTACAGATTCAATGCCATTCGTATCAAAATTCCAATGGAATTTATTACAGAAATTGAAGAAACTATCATAAATTGCTTATAGACACACAAAAGATCCTGAATGGCCAAAGCAGTCTCAAGAAAGAATAACAAAGCTGGAGGCATCGCACATCCTCACTTCAAACTATATTGCAAAGCTCTACTAATCAAAACAGTAGGGTATTGGCATAAACTCAGACACATAGATCAATGGAAAAACACAAAAACCCCAGAAATAATTAATTAAAAATAATTAATTTACCAAAAAAATGAATGAAGAATGTGCAATGAGAAAAAGTTAGTCTCTTCAACAAATGGTGCTGGGGAAAACCGGATAGCCACCTGCAAAAGAATGAATTTGTACTCCTGTGTGACACCGTACACAAAAGTGAACTCCAAGTAGATGAAAACTTGAACAGATGACCTTAGACCATACAATTCCTAGAAGAAAACAAAGGGGGTGAGCTCCTTGACATCAGTCTTGGTAATCCTTGTTTGGATTAGATACCAAAAACAAGGAAACAGAAACAAAAATAAGTAAGTTAGATTATGTCAAATTAAAAAGCATCTGCACAGCAAAGGAAACCATCAACAAAATGGAAAGGCAATCTATAGAATGGGAGAAAATATCTGCAAGTCATCTATCTGATAAGTTGTTGATATCCAGAAGATATGGAGAATTCATATACCTCAGTAGCAAAAAACAAGAAATTCAATTTTAAAAAACGGGCAGAGAAACTGAAGAGATATTTTTGCAAAGGAGACACATAAATGGACAGCAAAACAAGGTGCCTGACATTGCTAATTATCAGGGAAATGCAAAGCAAAACCTCAATGAGAGATCACCTTGCTCGCACCTGTTGGAATGCCTATTATCAAAAAGACCAGATATAACCAGTGTTGGTGAGGGTGTGAGAGAAGGGGACCCTTGTGCACTGTCAGGAATGGAACTGGTGCAGCCACTATGGAAAACAGTATGCAGAGTCATCAAAAAATCAAACATAGCACCACTTTATAATGCATGTGGGAATCTGCCCAAAGGCAACGAAAACAGGATCGAAGAGAGACCTTTGCACCCCATGTCCACTCCAGCATTACTCACAGTAGCCAAGAAATGGACACAACCCGAGGGTCCCTCTACAGAGGAACAGATATATGGGGGGGCAAAAGTAGGTTTAGAGCTGTGAGTGTGGGGAACAAACGATACAATAATAAATAATAACGCAGGAATAAACTCTGTGTTTTGAGTACTCACAACTGCAAACCTACTTTTGCCCACCGTGTGTGTGTGTGTGT